AACAGCACGGAGAGAAGACCTCTCCCCGCCCCCCCACTGTCCGTCCGCCCGTTTGCCAGGGCCTCTCGCTCCCGGCCTCCGCTGTTCCTGCGAGAGAATTCCTATTTCAGCCCCTCTATATGTACATTCAAAGAAATCTTGCACAGCTCAAGTCAAACTACTGCTACAGTCATATAGCATCCAACTAGGTTTTTGTCATGAAGTGTATCACTGTGTAGAGGGTAGCTGTAGCCTTGGCCACAGTAATACTCTCCTTCATCTTCAGGATGCACACCATTGATAGTGAAGGTAAAGTCAGTGCCACTTCCTCTTCCACTGAAGCGATCTGGGGTCCCTTCGAAACGGTTGGTAGCTCCATAAATCAGTAGCTTAGGTTTTTGTCCTGGTAGAAACTGATAGAAATGCATGTCATGATGGTGAACTGCTGACTGAAGAGGAAGTCTGGCAATGAATGTCGACTCTGTCCCCAGGATTTTTGTGCAAAGAGGCCGGGGTCTGAGTGACCACAATTTCCCCACTTGACTCTAGAAAGAAAAAAATTAAGCATGTTAGTCAAATGTTAATATTTACTAGAAATCCAAGATGGAACATCATTCACATTAACATACCTTTAAAGATGATCAAGGTTAGCCCAATCAAATATATCTGTAACATGATGGAAGTGCTGTTAATTCCACAATTTGTCCTGTTTCCCAGAAAATATCAAAATTGTTTCTAACTTTGCCAAGGAGAGAATCACAGCGATGATTTATGAGGAGTTAAATATGGAAATCTATGCAAATCTTCAGGGGATGGAAACATAATCATTGTCGGTCCCCAAAGGGTTAAATGCTTCTTGAAAAGCCTCAAAAACACCTGGGTGAGAGTTTCAAACTGATCAAGTCTCTGGAGGGACCTCAACAGAGCAATCTCAAGGAGAACTATTTGTCACCACAAGATCAGAGCTATTCAATGATATGGGCAGTTAATATGTTCACAAGGAAAAAGATTTATGAAGACACCTCCAGCTCCAGTTGTATCTTTTGAAGAACAACTATGAATGACATGCTAGATATTAAATGGAAAGTGAGATCTATCCTGTGGTATTTCTGGAGAAACAGATATGGTTATTAAGGGAGGACCCAGCTGTTCTCTCCATGCTTCATCTCTCCTTTCTCATTCCCTCCTCTTTTTTTGGATTGGTTGGTTCAGTTTTCATATATGTATATTCTACATTTAGCAGTCACAACTGTATGGGTGTGATAGGCATGTGTTCTGTATATACCGTTATTGGGATTGATGTCTCACAGGCTTTTGGAAAAATATGTGGGTCCACATTTCCTTCTTGGGGTGTATGTGCAATGGAATCAGTCTTGTTCAGCTTCAGGCGAACACTTTCCTATACCTCCCGATAGCTGAGAGACTCCGAGGCAGGGGGCACCACCAAAAGTTGGACTCTCTTGAAACCCAGGGGAATCTGGCATTGGGACAAAAGTGCGGGCTCAACAAGCATTTTGGCCTGGAACTGGACCCATGTTTGGGCCAATCCTTTGTACAGTTGTAACCAAATCAACTTAAGGCCCCCTTCTACACTGTCATAGAAGATCCAGATTATCTGATATGAACTGGAATATAAGGGGACACCCACTTCAAAATAATATATTTTCCAATATTTTCATAGATGTCTTTTTAGAATAGACTATTCTCAGTACTGGCACAACTCTGAAGCATTCTCTGGCATCTTCTAACATGAGCTTCAAATTGGTTTCTCCTGAGTTATGGGCCAGAAGTCCTTGGATGTCATGTGGATGCATAGGAGTGACTTCTGTTCTGATTCATGGTATCTAGTCAGGGAAATAGGCTTCTCCTACTCTATTCAGAACGAATTCCATAAGAAATCACTAAACAGCCATTTTCATGCATAAATCCATTAGAGAACATGCACTACTCAGCCCACATTGTATGAGTGGGTTGTTGTTCTCTGATATTGTATATGTTGTGGAAATTCAATAAAAATCTATATAAATAAAAATGTAATGTTCGTTTGTGGGTAAACTAGGCTTCTCCTACTCATTTCAGAAGGAATTCCATAAAAAATCACTAAACAGGCTAATTGTTTATTGTTATTGTTTTTATATGGTTTCTACTATATGTAATTGTTTTTGACTGTATTTTATCTTGTGGGGCATTGATTGCCAAATGTAAACCGCCTTGAGTCGCCTCCGGGCTGAGAGGGGCAGTATACAAGTATAGTAAATGAATAAATAAATAAAACAGCCGTTTTCATACATAAATCCATTAGAGAACATGCACAACTCAGCCCACATTGTATGAGTGGGTTGTTGTTCTCTGATATTGTATATGTTGTGGAAATTCACTAAATATATTATGATTAAAAAATAAACAAAGAAAAGATAAAAAGCCTCTTCTGAATTAGAGAAATTTTCAGTTTTGTTATTTATTAGCATTTCTTAGGAGTTGTTGGAAGGTGTAATAGAAAAAAAGGGCAGTAGCAATTCCTATTTCTGCCTCTCTTTGTGTACATTCAAAGAAATCTTGCACAGCCCAATTCAAACTACTGCTACAGTCATAGAGCATCAACTAGGTTTTTGTACTGAAGTGTATCACTGTGTAGAGGTGTGCTGCGGTGTTGCCCACAGTAATACTCCCCTTCATCCTCAGGACGCACACCATTGATAGTGAAGGTGAAGTCAGTGCCACTTCCTCTTCCACTGAAACGATCTGGGGTCCCTTCAAAACGGTTGGTAGCATAATAAATTAGTAGCTTAGGTTTTTGTCCTGGTAGAAACTGATAGAAATTCATGTAATGAGTGGATGAAAGGGTGACTGAAGAGGAAGTCTGGCACTGAATGTCGACTCTGTCCCCAGGATTTTTGTGCAAAGAGGCCGGGGTCTGAGTGACCACAATTTCCCCACTTGACTCTAGAAAGAAAAAAATTAAGCATATTAGAGAAACGTTAATATTTACTTGCAATCTAAGATGGAACAGCATTCCCATAATTATACCTTTAAAGATGATCAAGGTTAGCCAAATGAAATACATCTGCAACATGATGGAAGTGCTGTTAATTCCACAATTTGTCCTGTTTCCCAGAAAATATCAAAATTGTTTCTACCTTTGCCTAGGAGAGAATCACAGCAATGATTTATGAGGAGTTAAATATGGAAATCTATGCAAATCTTCAGGGGATGGAAACAAAATCATCGCTGGTCCCTAAGGGGGTTAAATGCTTCTTGAAAAGCCTCAAAAACACCTGGGTGAGAGTTTCAAACTGATCAAGTCTCTGGAGGAACCACAACAGAGCAATCTCAAGGAGAACAATTTGTCGCCACTAGATCGGAGCTATTCAATGTTATGGGCAGTTAATGTGTTCACAAAGAAAATATTTTATGAAGACACCTCCAGCTCCAGTTGTATCTTTTGAAGAACAACTATGAATGACATGGTAGATATTACATGGAAAGTGAGATCTATCCTGTAGTATTTCTGGAGAAACAGATATGGTTATTAAGGGGAGGACCCAGCCGTTCTCTCCATCCTTCATCCCTCCTTTCCCATTCCCTCCTTTTTTGGGTTGGTTGGTTCAGTTTTCATATATGTATATTCTACATTTAGCATTCACAACTGCATGGGTGTGATAGGCATGTGTTCTGTATATACAGTTATTGGGATTGATGTCTCACATGCTTTTGGGAAAATATGTGAGTCCACATTTCCTTCTTTGGGTGTATGTGCAATGGAATCAGTCTTGTTCAGCTTCAGGTGAACACTTTCTTATACCTCCCGATAGCTGAGAGACTCCGAGGCAGGGGGCACCACCAAAATGGGACTCTCTTGAAACCCAGGGGAATTTGGCATTGGGACAAAAGTGCGGGCTCAGAAATCAGCAAGCATTTTGGCCTGGATCTGGCCCCATGTTTGAGCCAATCCTTTCTACAGCAGTAACCAAATCAACTTAAGGCCCCCTTCTACACTGTCATAGAAGATCCAGATTATCTGATATGAACTGGAATATAAGAGGACACCCACTTCAAAATAATATATATTTCAATATTTTCATAGATGTCTTTTTAGAATAGACTATTCTCAGTTCTGGCACAACTCTGAAGCATTCTCTGGCATCTACTAACATGGGCTTCAAATTGGTTTCTCCTGAGTTATGGGCCAGAACTCCTTGGATGTCATGTGGATGCATAGGAGTGGCTTCTGTTTTGATTCATGGTGTCCGGACAGTAAACTAGGCTTCTCTTACTCTATTCAGGAGGAATTCCATAAGAAATCACTAAACAGCCATTTTCATACATAAATCCATTAGAGAACATGCACTACTCAGCCCACATTGTATGAGTGGGTTGTTGTTCTCTGATATTGTATATGTTGTGTAAATTCAATAAAAATCTATATAAATAAAAATGTAATGTTCGTTTGTGGGTAAACTAGGCTTCTCTTACTCAATTCAGAAGGAATTCCATAAGAAATCGCTAAACAGCCTCATTGTTTATTGTTATTGTTTTTATATGTTTTATACTATATGTAATTGTTTTTGACTGTATTTTATCTTGTGGGACATTGATTGCCAAATGTAAACCACCTTGAATCGCCTCCGCCTTGAGTCGCCTCCGGGCTGAGAGGGGCAGTATACAAGTATAGTAAATGAATGAATAAATAAAACAGCCATTTTCATACATAAATCCATTAGAGAACATACACAACTCAGCCCACATTGTATGAGTGCGTTGTTGTTCTCTGATATTGTATATGTTGTGGAAATTCACTAAATATATTATGATTAAAAAAATAAACAAAGAACAGATAAAAAGCCTCTCCTGAATAAGAAAAAAACCCCTCAATTTTGTTATTTATTAGCATTTCTTAGTTGTTGTTGGAAGGTTTAATAGGAAAGGGCTGGTAGCAATTCCTATTTCTGCCTCTCTTTGTGTATATTCAAAGAAATCTGCACAGCCGAATTCAAACTACTGTAGCAGTCATAGAGCATCAACTAGGTTTTTGTACTGAAGTGTATCACTGTGTAGAGGTGAGCTGCGATGTTGCCCACAGTAATACTCCCCTTCATCCTCAGGGCGCACACCACTGATAGTGAACGTGTAGTCAATGAAACTTCCTCTTCCACTGAAACGATCTGGGGTCCCTTCGAAACGGTTGGTAGCACCATAAATCAGTAGCTTAGGTTTTTGTCCTGGTAGTAACTGATAGAAATTCATATAATCATAGTCTGAACCACTGACTGAAGAGGAAGTCTGGCAATGAATGTCGACTCTGTCCCCAGGATTTTTCTGCAAAGAGGCCGGGGTCTGAGTGACCACATTTTCCCCACTTGACTCTAGAAAGAAAAAAATAAAGCATGTTAGTGAAATGTTAATATTTACTTGGAATCCAAGATGGAACAGCATTCCCATAAACATACCTTTAAAGATGATCAAGGTTAGCCAAATCAAATATATCTGCAACATGATGGAAATGCTGTTAATTCCACAATTTCTCCTGTTTCCCAGAAAATATCAAAATTGTTTCTATCTTTGACATGGAGAGAATCACACCGATGATTTATGAGGAGTTAAATATGGAAATCTATGCAAATCTTCAGGGGATGGAAACAAAATAGTTATCGGTCCCCAAAGGGTTAAATGCTTCTTGAAAAGCCTCAAAAACACCTGGGTGAGAGTTTCAAACTGATCAAGTCTCTGGAGGGACCTCAACAGAGCAATCTCAAGGAGAACTATTTGTCACCACAATATCGGAGCTATTCAATGATATGGGCAGTTAATATGTTCACAAAGAAAATATTTTATGAAGACAACTCCAGCTCCAGTTGTATCTTTTGAAGAACAACTATGAATAACATACTAGATATTACATGGAAAGTGAGATCTATCCTGTGGTATTTCTGGAGAAACGGACATGGTTATTAAGGGGAGGACCCAGCTGTTCTCTCCATACTTCATCTCTCCTTTCTCCTTTCCTCCTTTTTCTGGTTGGTTGGGTCAGTTTTCATATATGTATATTCTACATTTAGCAGTCACAACTGTATGGGTGTGATAGGCATGTGTTCAGTATATACAGTTATTGGGATTGATGTCTCACAGGCTTTTGGGAAAATATGTAGGTTCACATTTCTTTCTCGGTGTGTTTGTGCCGTGGAATCAGTCTTGTTCAGCTTGAGGAGAACACTTTCCTATACCTCCCGAAAGCTGAGAGACTCCAAGGCAGGGAGCATCACCAAAATGGAACTCTCTTGAAACCCAGGGGAATCTGGCATTGGGACAAAAGTGCAGGCTCAGAAATCAGCAAGCATTTTGGCCTGGATCTGGACCCATGTTTGAGACAATCCTTTCTACAGCAGTAACCAAATCAACTTAAGGCCCCTTCTACTGTTGTAGCTCAGCGTGATAGTAACGTTGCTACTAGTGGTAGAAGGGAGAAGAGGGCTGCGCAGGTGGGGGAGGAGGAGGAGCAGCGATAGCATATTAGGGAGATAATCATGGCCCATCTGATTCTGAAACCTTCGAGGGTTTCTCTGACTGAAATGGGGGATGGGGAGGAAAGCAGGTGAGTTAAGCGGACTACTCGCGAACAAGGATCTGACGAGGAGATTCAAAGGAAGCGTATCCGTGATATTCTTATTTATTTATTTATTTATTTACTCCATTTGTATACCGCATTTATCAGCCTGAGACGGCGACTCAATGCGGTTTACAATAAAAATGGGCAACACTGAACAATATATAAGACGCACATACACAAACAACACACATAGTCATCGACGCCTCAATTAGAATCAGATCCCGTTCTCACAATCCTTTTCCGTTCCTTGTTCCAATGCCGTCTTACTGAGTTAATTGTCATTGCATAGTTATCCAAATGCCTGTTCATAGAGCCACGTCTTCACCCTCCTCCGAAACACCAGTAACGAAGGAGCCTGCCTGATGTCCACTGGTAGGGCATTCCATAGCCGAGGGGCCACCACCGAGAAGGCCCTGTCTCTCGTCCCCGCCAACCGCACTTAGCGCTCCTATGGAGGATGAAGACTTCATGGGCTTCGAGGGGGGTGATGGGTCTGAGAGTGACATGGGGGAAGAGGATGATCTTGACTGGACCCGTGTACAGGAGATTAGGGATATTTGTACCCAGCCTACCTCCAGTGATAACTTTGAAGGGTTTACAGAAGAGTGGCAATCGGGGAGCACTTGGCAAGATCTAAGTCTTGACAGACGCTGGCAGAGGTGGAGGGATGGTGGTTTGGGTTCAGCTGCAGGGAATGGGGCAGCTGAGAGTGATGACGAAAGGGTGGGGTGCAGCTCATCTTCGGAGGAGGAACTTTAAGATATAAGCGGGGTTTGTTTCAATGGGTCTTTGCAGAAGGCAAAGTGTCTCTTTTGGGGTGTGAATCTTTGTTCCTGCCACAATTCTCGAGCTTGAGTCCTTGGACCACAGATTCCTGTGTTCCTGTGTTTTCCACTTGCGAATCCGTGAACGACAACTTCTACTCTACTGTGTTTGACTCCGGACCGTTTTGGACAACACCTTTTGCTTCTTGGGCTTTTTCATCTTGCTTGCATCGTGCTTCAACTTCGGAACGTTTTTGGACTCTGCTTTTGCCTTTACCTAGTGTGTTTTTGAACACTCTTTGTGTTTTGTGTTTTGTGATGAAGCGGATTGCTTCATATTTTAGTTAATCCGGATTATATGCCAGGATAATCCGGGTTATATTTGAGTTGATAATTTCACCTTGTTTTTGATACCAATTCTTTGATTGAACTTGGGGCACTGAAGTAAGTGCTTCGAAGACTCTTTTGTGAACAATAAAACTGTGTTTGCACCTTGCAACCTGTGTTTGGCTTTACTGAGGCTTCTGGGTCTTGACATCTACACTGTCATAGAAGATCCAGATTATCTGATATGAACTGGAATATAAGGGGGCACCCACCTCAAAATAATATATATTTCAATATTTTCATAGATGTCTTTTTAGAATAGACTATTCTCAATTCTGGCACAACTCTGAAGCATTCTCTGGCATCTTCTAACATGGGCTTCAAATTGGTTTCTCCTGAGTTATGGGCCAGAAGTCCTTGGATGTCATGTAGATGCAGAGGAGTGGCTTCTGTTTTGATTCGTGGTGTCTGGCCAGTAAACGAGGCTTCTCTTACTCTATTAAGAAGGAATTCCATAAGAAATCATTAAACATCCTTATTGTTTATTGTCATTGTTTTTATATGGTTTATACTATATGTAATTGTTTTTGACTGTATTTTATCTTATGGGGCATTGATTGCCAAATGTAAACCGCCTTGAGTCGCCTCCGGGCTGAGAGGGACGGTATACAAGTATAGTAAATGAATGAATAAATAAAACAGCAATTTTCATATATAACTCCATTAGAGAATATGCACAACTCAGCCCACATTGTATGAGTGGGTTGTTGTTCTCTGATATTGTATATGTTGTGGAAATTCAGTAAATATATTATGATTAAAAAATAAACAAAGAAAAGATAAAAAGCCTCTCCTGAATAAGAAAAAAAATCTCAATTTTGTTATTTATTAGCATTTCTTAGTTGTTGTTGGAAGATTTCTGCCCCTCTTTGTGTATATTCAAAGAAATCTTTCACAGCCCAATTCAAACTACTGCTACAGGCATAGAGCATCAACTAGGTTTTTGTACTGAAGTGTATCACTGTGTAGAGCAGGGGTAGGGAACCTTTGGCCCTCCAGCTGTGGTGGACTTCAACTCCCACAATTCCTTGAGGCTCGGCATTCGCCCCAAAGGCTTACCTTGGCCCAATGCCGAGCCTCAAGGAATTGTGGGAGTTGAAGTCCACCACAGCTGGAGGGCCAAAGGTTCCCTACCCCTGGGAGGATAGTCATAGATTTGGCCACAGTAATACTCCCCTTCATCCTCAGGGCGCACACCACTGATAGTGAAGGTGAAGTCAGTGCCACTTCCTCTTCCACTGAAACGATCTGGCGTTCCTTCGAATCGGTTGGTAGCATCATAAATCAGTAGCTTAGGTTTTTGTCCTGGTAGAAACTGATAGAAGTTCATGAAATCAGTGTATGAATTGCTGACTGAAGAGGAAGTCTGGCACTGAATGTCAACTCTGTCCCCAGGATTTTTGTGCAAAGAGGCCAGGGTCTGAGTGACCACAATTTCCCCACTTGACTCTAGAAAGAAAAAAATTAAGCATGTTAGTGAAATGTTAATATTTACTTGGAATCTAAGATGGAACAGCATTCCCATAAACATACCTTTAAGGATGATCAAGGTTAGACAAATCAAATATATCTGTAACATGATGGAAGTGCCGTTAATTCCACAATTTGTCCTGTTTCCCAGAAAATATCAAAATTGTTTCTACCTTTGCCATGGAGAGAATCACAGCGATGATTTATGAGGAGTTAAATATGGAAATCTATGCAAATCTTCAGCGTATGGAAACAAAATTATTGTCGGTCCCCAAAGGGTTAAATGCTTCTTGAAAAGCCTCCAAAACACCTGGGTGAGAGTTTCAAACTGATCAAGTCTCTGGAGGGACCTCAACAGAGCAATCTCAAGGAGAACAATTTGTCTCCACAAGATCGGAGCTATTCAATGATATGGACAGTTAATATGTTCACAAAGAAAATATTTTATGAAGACACCTCCAGCTCCAGTTGTATCTTTTGAAGAACAACTATAAATGACATGCTAGATATTACATGGAAAGTGAGATCTATCCTGTGGTACTTCTGGAGAAACGGACATGGTTATTAAGGGGAGGACCCAGCTGTTTTCTCCATGCTTCATCTCTCCTTTCTCATTCCCTCCTCTCTCTTTTTTTTTTTGGATTGGTTGGTTCGGTTTTCATATATGTATATTCTACATTTAGCCATCACAACTGTATGGGTGTGATAGGAATGTGTTCTGTACATACCGTTATTGGGATTGATGTCTCACAGGCTTTTGGGGAAATATGTGGGTTCACATTTCCTTCTTGGGGTGTATGTGCAATGGAATCAGTCTCGTTCAGCTTCAGGCGAACACTTTCCTATACCTCCCGATAGCTGAGAGACCCCAAGGCAGGGGGCACCACCAAAATGGGACTCTCTTGAAACCCAGGGGAATCTGGCATTGGGACAGAAGTGCAGGCTCAGAAATCAGCAAGCATTTTGGCCTGGATCTGGACCCATGTTTGGGCCAATCCTTTCTACAGCAGTAACCAAATCAACTTAAGCCCCCTTCTACACTGTCATAGAAGATCCAGATTATCTGATATGAACTGGAATATAAGGGGGCACCCACCTTAAAATAATATATATTTCAATATTTTCATAGATGTCTTTTTAGAATAGACTCCATGGAAGGAGAATGAATAACTGTGAATTATGACCAGGAATGTTTTGTTGACGTGYCTATGTAAGTGTGATGATGKCGATGTTGTATTGTAATYTGTTTTTAATTGTGTAATGATGATGCATTGTGTGGTTAGTATTTTTGTATATGAACACATGTTGTGAACCAGATCTG